GTATTTCGTCGATTTGAGAAGAGACCACAACTCCATTTGCTTCACTTCTAGTGGCCTCTAATTCACTAAGTAATTTTTCTGTATCTCTCTTTTGCTCACGTAGTGACGTCTCAATTACAGATATTTTAGTTTGCTGTGTTTGAATATTGATTCGGGCAGCTGCAAGTTCTTCTTCTTGATGCTGGATTTGCTGCTCCAAGGCATTCTTCTCGGTTTGTAGATAAGACACCTTTCTTTCTAGTTCCTGGTTTCTGGTGTGACATTCCTGAGCTGATTGGTTTATCATATCCAAGTGGGTCTTCAAACTGTCGTTCATGTGCTCATCAAGTGTATCCTTCTTTCCCTGTGTAAAAGCAAAAATAAGATCAGTTAGAAATTTGTTAAATTCACTGAATCGGTTTAATTTGAAATTATGAGTAAATAGCAAGCTTTCATAAGAGCGCTTATCAGTCATTAAAATCTTTTTCATTGTAGCCTAATGGCTAAAAACAGTGAATTAATTCCGGATTTTGCACTAGTGTAAAGCAAATTGAAAATTTAATGTCGCTATGGAAGGGTTGGTAGTCTATTGCAAGTTAATCCCAGTCAGGTTTTTGACAATTGACGACCTTAAACCGGTTTACAGTACATGTACCTATTTTACAGGGCGGAGAGAGGATCTATGTGACACAACACAACGACCTATGCCGTGCCTCAAAATCATGTCAATCTACAGACTGCTTGCGGCTGGTATTTGTCTTTAGTTTCGATAAATGTTTGGCCCAGTAATGAGTCTCTTCACCCCTCAAAGCTCTCCTTTAATCTCTCCTACAGACATTGCACTACATCCGGAGCCTAACGCACCATACATGAGGCAAATGAGCGTCCTAAGCAGCGTTAAGTAGTCGTGTTGAATAGTTAAAAGTCATTTAAGGCATCAATTAAAATAAAGAAAAACAAAACAAATACTTACTTTGAAGTTACAACCGTAAAAAGTGAAAGGGCAAATCACTTCTGCCTTGGGGCATTCTGTAGTCACGTGCTCTTCCATCATGTCACGTGGTATGGCCTCTTTCCCACAACATAAGATACAATCGATTGGGAACTTGAGGCAGACTTCCAAATGATCCTAAATGAAAAACAAAATTCTCCCGTGTTATAAAGTATCGTTCGAAACTAAATGTAGCTAGCTAATAGATCAAATTCAAATTGCCCATGTCATAGCTAGCAACCTACACCATCATTTGACAAGCCGAGAAGAATGTTTAAGAATTTGAATTTGGCAAGTTTGTGCATTTGTTACTCCACAACTCTCTTCATCACACAGTAAAAATAAGACAAAAATACGACTAGCACACTGAGGTAAATTGTTAGAGAGGCCCAACGAGTTAACTGTCGGCTATCAGCAGTCAGCCAATGGCATATTCATATCGCTGCGTTATTGTTAAAAATTCTATTGGAAACTACTTGCCATCGTTTTCTATGGGCTTTAGTCTACTCACCTGAGGCTCCTTGACAGCTCGCTCAAGACAACTCGGGCACAAATGAGAAGGAAAGAGCGCTAGGGACGAGGTTTGGAACTAATGAACTACTTTATATAAAAATTAACTGTTACTTTACCATTATGCAGATTTTCGGAACTCCTTGTCCACAGTAAGTGCATGTTATCGCCCTGTTGATGCACTCATTTGTTCTATGTTGCTCAATATGCCTTCTTTCCATAGTTTGAGCGCACGCTCTACATTGCACATCACCATATTTACAGTTTTCTTCATGTGCCTGATAAAATAAAAAGTTTATTGTAAAAAAATAAATGAAGTCGGGCGCTACACTAAACAGGCTCTGTTTGGGTGACTTCGCATATAGTCGCATATGAATTGAGAAAAGAAAAAAATGATAACAAAATAAAAACAACAATTTCCCTGTTTCTTTTTTTCAATCAAGTTTCACTGGACAGCTTTTTGAAATCGCACTCCTATAATCTGATTGTCATAGCTAAACTTGCGCTTTTAACCAGCATCATTTCGAATGTCAAGTAAATTCATTGGCCTCCTTTCTTTCCGTTTTCTAGGAACAATAGACAACTTGGCTGTGCCTCGTTGACTATTAGTTCGTAAAATACCCAGGCTCTTTTTTCCTGTTAACAGCATCCCGCGATGAAAGTAGCTAAAGGTGATGGTGAGAAGGAAATATTACCCTCGCAAACTGGGCAAAAATATCAGGACGCAGTCGCAATGAAACTACTAGATTACTGCGGTTTTTACGAGGTTGGCGTGCACTAATGGTTTAGCGAGCATTTTAGTCGGGAGANCAGTCGCAATGAAACTACTAGATTACTGCGGTTTTTACGAGGTTGGCGTGCACTAATGGTTTAGCGAGCACTAAATTACATTCAACAAGCTGGAACATGTTTCGAAGATTTCCCGGTTTTTTTTTTTTTTTTTTTTTTTCGGTAAATCACTGTCACGCCAGCTGTCACGCCAACTGTCATGTCAACTGTCTGTTTGGGAGTCATTTAAAGTTCCGTTACAAAAATAGATAATTAACTCTTAAAACTTCCTGCCTCAAGGTTTACACTTACCTGCAGATTCCTCAGTTCCCCACTCCAATCACAACTTCTCTCTGCATATCGACAGGAACATTTCAGATCAAGCACTTCCCTTTCACAACATCGATCGCGAAATGAGTCATCTGGCACAATTGTCTCTCCGTCTAATGGGCACCTCAAGCATGTTGGTCTGGAAGCAGAAGAACGTCAGAGTTAGTCTTAGGTCTCGATAGTCTCTATCACCTTACACTGTTGTTCTCATTTGTAAAAAAAAAAGTCTTTTTCAACATTTCATCGTTTCCTTGCTTCAATTGTTGCTATTCTCCTCTTCCTTGTCGTTTCAAGACAAATTTGATTTGATTTTTTTGTTTGTTTGTTTTTCAATTTCCGGAAACCAATTTCTAGCTCGCAAGAGACTCGTAAGCACTGCTTGCAACTCATGTATCACGGATCGTAGGGTTTCATTCAGAGACTGATATTAGAAAAAAGTAGAAACGTCATTTTAACACTTTGATTCTACTGGGAAAAAGGAGAATGTACCCACAACTACTTACTCGATCGAGTTTGAGAGTAGTAGAAAAATTGAGGATGAACTGATCGATTATACAATAAAAAATATCTTCTTTTATAATTAACTACCTAATTAGAGGATCCAAACAATTTCTACAAAATCTGTGTCCACAGGAGGTCTGCCATGGCTCGTTGAAAACATTCTTGCAGATTGGACAAGCTAATCGTTCGTCGAGCCGATCGACGAACTTAACATCGGTAAAAGCTGCAACACATACTGACATAGTGCAATAATGACTACAACGAAACAATTGTTGCTGATTTAGTACAGCTACTAAAAGCTTCTTGTGACGTCAATCCATTTACCGGTGAAAGTACCTGCTTGACCCGAGCCAATCAATCAATAAAGTCTTTTAAACGTTACATCTCGATACATCGCACTGGTTTGACGTTTAAGTGAGCCTCTCTGTGATATTCTTATCCTTTGGTGATCACACTTTACATCTTGACCGTATGTCGAATTGGCAATGCTGAACGGAGTTTAAATCATCACATGCATCAGACAGCCAGAATGCCAGCCAATCCGGAGGCAAAACGTAAGAAGAAAAATATAAAAGAAGTGCTACAACTCAAACGGAAACAGCACGAAAGGGAAATTTGTGGGTTTTATCAGCACGTCATAGTGTCATGTTTACTGCTTTACTGTTTACTGTACACTTGGCATACTTTGTTTCGGGCTAAGCGCGCCATGCATAGAAACATGGAGTTATTCAGTTTTTGATATTTTTCGTCTGTAAGTGTCTGAACCTTGGCGTTTCAACAGAGTCTCTTGAATACAGATCGGAAACGAAGTAAAAATACAAATAAATATCGAACTAAAAGTTTTGTTATTTTCGTTACGTGACCAGAATCTGCTCAGTGAAAAGGGGTTTCCCCGAAAGGTATTTGCTGTTGACGAAAACAAAACAATACCATCCTAATCAGAAGAAGGAACCGCAATAATAAATGTAACATTATGCATATAGTTATTCGTTCCTTCGTACCAGCGACGTTCCTGCTTATGGAATCGTAAGACGTAAAAAGATGTACAGATCGCTATGAATTTATATAAATAAAGAGCTAGCCGGGAGCCGGAGCCCGCTTCACTGAGCTTTCGAGAAAGTAATTTCGAACATGCTAAATCGGGTGAACATCTAAACTGAGTAAGGAAAAGCCCACGGGAAAAGAAAACACGTAACAGTAGAATCGGAACAGGAAATGAAAACACAAGCAAAATAAGTTTCAATACAGCGGTATTTGGCCCTCACCAACATTCTCGATTAGCCTGTTTGAATTTCAATTTGCGCAATTTTCCCTTCTTATAACTTCTGACAAGACGTGACCTACGTTCTGCTTCTTTAATTTCGAACGCTTCTGAAGCGGATAGTACGTGCAGTTGTCTACCAAGCGTTACCTTCTTCTTCACTTGAATGAGATTAACTTATGAACAAGAAAAAAGACACATTTTTCAAAGCGACGTTCGTCTGTTCAATAAGTCGAATTCTCACTATGACATCGTGATTAGGGGAATCCCCTAAAACAGGAAGCTGATTGGTAGTTTGTTGCGTACGCAATAAAACTTGCTTCACACCTACCTGCATTGCTCGACCGTTTTTCGCAGCCGGATATACGCTTTATTTCATGTCTGTGCTATAGACTTATTCTTCCTTTTACAATACGGTTTACATAGAACTCGCTACTGGTCCTGCCCTGAGGCCTGCTATTTCTCGAAAGTCCCGGAACTTTTTCGGGTTCGAAAAGCCATTTTTAGTTAATCGGTATTTAAAGACAAAGCGGTGTATACGCCTGAAACTTCTTGTACGGAATGGAATCACTGTTACAATTAAGAATATGTGACTAAAACAGCTTTGTAATCATAAGGTTTGAGATGTGCTACGGCTTTCCGGTTGCGAAAACTTTCCGGGACCTTCGAGAAACGGACCCCTGGTTCATATCTGACTTTGACGGAGCACCGTAAGTGGAACGCAAGGTTGCAATCCTCGGGTTGATATCGTTTCTAAGGGTTTTCAGTTTTGACCGACGGCTTGTTTGTTTTTTTAGCGCGTTCTTATCAGTCGCGACAAGTTTCGAACTGCAAGGTAAGCTTCAGCAGAATTCCTTGGAAAGTGTAAATTCCTGCACATAAAGATTTATGAGGGTCGTACAGGGAGGGGTGGGGAGGGGGCCCTCTGGCGCGATTCACGAACGGAAAAAATTGAGGATCACGGATCACGGAAATAGAAATGTCATTTTCCCGAGTCACGAAAACTGTTCTTACACTAAAAACAGTGTTTGATCGAAGAAAGCAAAATCGCAAATGGTTAAGTCAAGGCTCCATATTGCAAATCGCATACCTAAGTCACTCTTGATAAACGACCCTGGCCATTCGGAGGTCTTGCGCCTCAAAATCACGTAGAATAGAGTGGTAAAATCACGAATATCGGTTAATAATTCAGGTTCTTCACGGGTCA